TCTTTGGTTATGACAAAAGTGTGGACACAAATTTGACCCCTTTAAAAAATACATCTTCACTTTTTTACAAGGGGGGGGTATTACCTTTTTTATTTTCTCAATTATTTTTTTTATCACCATGATTTTCCCCCAAGATATAGTAACCTCCATTAGAAGGGTCATACTAGATTTTTAGACATTAAAATAAAATATCCTAAAAAATATTACTTATAGAAAAAAAAATGAGTAAATATAAATAAGAATATATCATACATCAATCAATAGAGGATACAATTCTAAGCATATTGGTTAACACCTCAAGTTTCTATCATCAAAAGTTATGACAAAAATGCGGATGCAATTTTTACAAAAGTACATCTTCACTTTTTCCCTTTGATATTTTTCAAAGGGGGGGGTATTACCATTTAGTAAAATAATAAAAAAAGTAAACACTATTCCAGAAAAATTGATCATTCATTTACAATATTTATTCCAATCTTAAAACAATAAGCTTAAAATTTAAAGTTAACCAAGAAAAATTAATGAATTAATCATAGAACTCAATTTTCGTATAAATTAAAATATTCATATAAATAAAAATATTCCATATTATTAAAAAATCAAGTAATGCAGATATTGAAATGAATTTTCAATAGCATCGTTAACATCTACAACAATCAATTCCAAATCTACTCAAAGTTCTTAAATTCTATTTTATAGAAATGCACAAGATATTTTTATCGATTTTGCAGTATATAACTTCATGTTAGAGTAATAGAAATTCAATATTAAAAATAAAAGATAATGAATTGTAATTATCATATCAGAAATCCAATAGCATTTGTATGTTTAGCTCCTCACAAGTGCGAATGCTAAAGAAAACTTTGTGCTGAATGCCTATATGGACATGGAGTGGATTTGAAATGTGCAGTTCCTATTGGAATATTTTAAGAAATGGCTATGAAGAAATTAAAAGACTCCAACTTTAATGATACAACTGAGTTAACCAAATAGAGATTGGCCTTTAAATCATTGCTCTCTCAAACTGAATTAATGTTGAAGAAAATTTGGGAGGAGTTGTCACAATCAATCAAATAAATTTACGATTGGATTGAAAAGGAAAACTAATCATACTTAAACCTCCTCAATGAAAACACTAATCTAGCTGAATCCTCCTACAGTGATATAGAAAAATTAGTCAACTTTGTAGAAGGATCAACTTTAAATGATTGGAATGCTTCGAAGAATTCTTATATGAAGGAGTTAGATAAGACCAAGAGCTGGTGGGACCAATATATAAAGGCTTTTATTGAGAAGTCTAACTAAGGAATCCAACAGATCCAATCATTAATCAAGTAAGTATTCATTTGTTATTATAGAATTTAAGCCAATCAAGAAGAAGAATCAGAAGAAGTTTATTAAATGAAGGAAGATTTATATGAGATACTTACCTACACCTAGGATATAGATGAATCTCTCTATTAGTAGATTCTTGAAATACTCAGATAAGAGAAAGTTTTAGACATTATTGGATTCCTGTCAAAGACAAACAATCATCAGTTTTATGAATCTTTAATCAAGAAGTAAGAGAATGTAAAGGATGTCAAGAAGTTAGCAAAGAAAATCACAAATGTCTTGAGAAATATTTAGGAACATAAATTTAGTAAGGATGACTATTCTTCTGAGACTTATGAAAAGGAAAGAGCAGATCTGATCAAGAGGGTGAAGGATAACAAAAAGATCACAAATTTCATCAAATTTTTAGTACTATTAACAAGCATAGATGTAAAATTTATTCAATCGGGATCAAATGGACTTAGTTTATTAGTGGCCCTGAAGGTTGATATTAGGAGCTATTCCTTTGAAAAAATTAGGATCAAAAATACTTCTTTGTTTGGAGGAAACTTTGTTCGATGTAATTTGAATGGATCAGAATTTGAGAATGTCGATATTAGCGGAGTCAATTTTAATGGAGCTTAGATGTTTAATTGTAAATGGAAGAACATAAAAGTCCATGAATTGAATAAACTGGATGGTCATAGTAGTTGTGTTAGATCAGTTTGTTTCTCTCCTGATGGAAATACATTAGCTTCTGGTAGTGAAGATAACTCTATCCGTCTATGGGATGTCAAAACAGGATAATAAAAAGCCAAATTAGATGGTCATAGTAACTAAGTTTGGTCAGTCTGTTTCTCTCCTGATGGAAATACATTAGCTTCTGGTAGT